TATTACCACCGGCCTAGAAAAATATATCAAGGCACAATAAATAAATATTTCATTATTCTTACTTGATTTGCTGTATGTTTACATTAATGGAAAAGTATTGTAGAGTTGTATGTCGTAGAAAAAAGATTTTTTTTATTTATTTATTTTTTTATATGGTTTTGTTTATGTCTATTTTTGATTTTGTTATGTTATTGTGCATGGCACACACGTTTACACACATGTAGACATACAGGCACGTACACACACGTACCATGTATGTACCGAAAATTATGTTTTCTCGGCGAACTCGCGTCTCGGTATAAAAAAAACCGACCGACTCAGAAAAACTCAATTTCGCCGACGGACAACACAAGTAACCGACCGGTCCGCAGCTCGTTCTACGTTGTAGATGTTGGCCGAACTGAAACATCAAATTACATCACATCACGTCACATTATTCGATATACCGATACCAATCGATAGTGCGCAGAGACACACATACACACATACATAACATTCACACACACATACATATATATATATATATATATATATATATATATATATATATATATATATATATATATATACATACATACAAACAAACAAACATACATACATGTCATTATCATTAATCACGAGAAATGAAGTTTGCAACTGAATAAGTATTTTTTATAACGGCAGAGATTAGAAGGTCATGACAGATTTGGAGAGCATGTGGAACTACCCATCGTTTATAAAGGAGACAGGAGCGAGACCCGACGTCATGGTACAGTCGGTATCGGCAGGCACTATTATTTTAGTCGAACTGACTCTACCGTATGTAGGCTAATACAGCAGCAAGCCACGCTATAAAAGCAGCCAAGTATGAAAAGCTTGTTAGTGAGATAAAGCAGCGGGGCTGAAGTGTTTGTTGTACGCAGTTGAGGTCTGTTTTGTTGTTGTTGGTTGTTTAGTGTACAGCTTTCCGAAGGATTTGGGTTTGGCAGGTAAAAGACGATCGAGTTTTATGTATGGATGTCTTACTGGATGTGGTTATGTAGGAAGAAAAAGGAATGCGATTACTCAACACTTCCAGATTTGGCTGAAATAAATGATAAATACATCTGAGGTATATAACACTGGAGACACTTTTTGATGCATATGTAATTGTGTATGTATGTATGTATGTATATATGTATATTGAATAAGTTTTTGATGTATATGTATATATATTTGTGTGTGTATCTGTGTATATTGAATAAGTGTTTATCTTATATTATGCATAAATTCAGCGTATTACAGTATTTTTTATATAAACTTATGAATTATTTATGATTCTTGGTAGTTATTGACTTTTTTTTTTCATCACCCCATAAATCTGCCGGGCGGATGGTGAATAAACTTTTTCCACCACCACCATCGTCATCGTCATTATCATCTTCTAAATCATCATCATCATCTTCATCATCATGCACTTAATTATCGTCATCACCACCATCGTCTTCATCATCATCGTCATCGTCTTCATCATCATCATCAGTAATTCTTTACAATTAATTATTTTTTTATTCTATTATTCATATTTTATTATCTACTCTGTTATCTCTTCATCGCCGTATTAAAATAGATCATCTGACTAAAGGAAGAACTTCTACTACTACCACAGCTACTACAACTAATAATACTACTACTACAACGGCTACTACTTCTAATACTATTACTACTGCTAGTATTACTATTTCTACTACTATTACTACTGCTACTACTATTAGTAGTATTATTATTATTAGTAGTAGTAGTAGTAGTAGTACTAGTAGTAGTAGTAGTAGTAGTAGTAGTACTAGTAGTAGTAGTGGTAGTAGTAGTAGTAGTAGTAGTTTACTACTGCTACTACTACTAGTAGTAGTTGTTATAAATTAAAAATAATTTATTACTCATTTACATATCAAATTGATAACACATTTATAAATTATTCAAACAGGTCAAGTTAACCCACATTGATAAATTTTACTATCATACTAAAATCTCTCTCTTTCTCTCTCTCTTTCATTTTCTCTCTCTCTCTCTCTCTCTCTCTCTATTTTTTCTCTCTCTTTCTTTTTCATCTTTCCCTATTAAGCCAACCACACATGCACTAACATTTGACGGTGTTATCAATATGATAATGAATTTTATTTATTAATATAGATACTTTAGTGAATTTTTATGTATGTATGTATGTGTGTGTGTGTTTGTTTGTATGCGTGTGTGTATGTGTGTGTGTGTTTATGTGTGTTTGTTTGTTTTTTATTGATCTTGATACAAAGCATGATCTGATGTGATGTGGGTGGGACGTTTATTGAGTTCATGAGCTTTTGTTGGTTTTGTGTTGTTTGTGTTGTTGTATGTGTGGTTTGCTGTGTTGTTGGTTTTGTGTTATTGTATGTGTTGTTTGCTGATTTGTTGTTGTGTTGTTATATTTGGAAAGGAGTTAAATCTACCATAGACATCATCATCATGCCGAAACATGTCAACACATTTTTTCATCATCATTTTGGCGTAATCATTTTTATGCTAATTTATACACTGATCCCTCTGACAATTTTCTTTCACTATAGCCAATAGTTATTCAGACTCCGCCCATAAAGAATTTCGTCAGCTATCTTGTTTTTTTTAAGACCGATCGTTTAAATTATTTATCGTCATCGTTAGTTATGCCTCCCTCGTTGGATTCTCCTGCTATCTTCGTTCTTCTTATGACATCGTTGTTGTTGTTGTTGTTGCTGTTGTTGTTGCTGTTGTTGTTGCTGTTGTTGTTGTTATTGTTGTTGTTGTTATTGTTATTGTTGTTGTTGTTGTTGTTGTTGTTGAGGTAATTGTAGTTGTCACTGTTGATGAAATGACTACGGTGATGATGATGATGAGGAGGATGATGATGGCGATAAAGAAGAAGATGATAATGATGATAATTTTTTGCTAGCGGCAAGTTCGAACAAATGATTTTTTAAAACCGGCTCTATTATCATAATGGTGGTAATAACGATAATGATGTCTTCGATGGTGACGATGATGACGACGATGATGATGATAATAATAATAATACTGTGATGATGATGATGACGATGATGATGATGATATAACTGTGATGATGATGGCGATAATGATGATGGTGATGATGATGGTGGCATCATAGTCGTCGTCGTCTTTGTTGATTTGTTAATTTCAGTGAAATGTTACATTTTATTGTATACGGCAGTTTTTTTTTGGCGGGAATTATTTCAGATTTTAATTTTTTTGAATTTAATTTGAACACTTTAAATATTCTTTGCTTTCGTAGAATTTATTTTCAAAATTTAAAAAAAAATTTTTGTTTCTTTTTTCAGAAATCATTGCACAGTACTTACGATTTTATTAATTTATTGTAATTTAAATCATTTTATAATTTTAATTATGTATGCAAACGCGCGTACAAACACACACCTACACCCACACACACAAACAAACACACATAACCAAACACACACACATACATGTTTGTTATTTATGTATGTATGTAAGTATGTGTGTATATGTATGTGTATGCTTGTGTAAATTAGTACGTGTGAGTTTTGATGAATCTCTGTATGTGTATGTATGTTTGTGTGTGTCTTTTTATTTATAAATGTGTATGTGTGTGTGTGTGTTTGTGTGTGTGTGTGTTTGTGTTTTTTGTGTGTGTGTGTGTGTATGGTGTGTATAAGCACGCATACACATACACACCTATATACCTACATACACACACATATATATATATTTATGTTTATTTATTGCATGTTAATCATTCATTTGATACTGCTTAATCGAAAATTAGTGAAACTACTTTTGATAGTAAAATTATTAATAATTCACCCTAATACTATTTTTATTATGACGATAATCATCAAATTAATTATTAGTTAATAATAATTGTAATAATTATAATAAATAATAATAATAATAAATAATAATTATGAAGGTGGGTCAGTGTCAGCCCGTAAGGAAGTTATAAGGAACAAGATTCGCGCCATCGGAAAAATGGCCAGGGTGTTCCAAGTTCTAAGGTTGGTTGGTTGGTTGGATGGTAGGTGAGTTGGTTGGTTGATTGGTTGATTGGTTGGTGGGTTGGTTGGTTGGTCGGTTGATTGATTGGTTGGCTGGCTGGTTGGTTGGCTGGCTGGTTGGTTGGTCGGTTGGTTAGTTCATTGGTTGGTCGGTCGGTTGATTAGCTGGTTGATTGGCTGGCTGGCTGGCTGGCTGGTTGGTTGGTTGGTTGGCTGGTTGATTGGCTGGCTGGCTGGCTGGCTGGCTGGCTGGCTGGTTGGTTGGTTGGTTGGTTGGTGGTTGGCTGGCTGGCTGGTTGGCTGGTCATTTGTTGGTTTGTTTGTGTTCAGTTAGGTTAACCACTTAATTTATTGCTATTTATATGTTTATTTTAAACCATGCCATGTATACAATCACACACACACACAAACACTCACACACACACACTCACGCATAAACATACCCGCTCAAACATATGCTCACCCACACATACTCGAACGTATTCACATTTACAGTACACACACATACACACAAACACACACAAACACACACACACACATATATATATACACGCACTCATCAATAGAATGCTAGCATGTTTGAAGAGTGGTCATTGAAGTAAATGGCAAATAACGAACGTGCAATGAGATGCCCGATAAATAATGTCATGCAGCTTATTGCAACACACACACATACACACGCACATACACACGCACATACATACATACATACGCACATACATACATACATACTCACGTACATACGAACATACATGTATATACGCCCAAAAACAATGTCTCTCAATACAGACGCACAATTCATGAATGGAGGGACGGATGAATGAATGAGTGAACGAACGAATGAATGAATGAATGAATGAACGAACGAACGAACGAACGAATGAATAAATGAACATATAAACATGAAACGAAAAGGAAGCAAAATTAATGGACGTGCTCACGAAAAGTTGAACTAACGACTCAAAGCTTGGAAGAATGAATGATTGAATTAGTCTAGCAATGAACGAATGATTGAATGAATGAGTGAGTGAGTAAATGAATGAATGAGAAAATGAATGAACGAACGAGAAAAGAGAAAGTGAGAGCGAGTGAATGAATGAATATGAGTTAACGAGCTAGCAAGTGATTGAATTAATGAAAATGAGTGAGATAGCGAGTGAGAGAGTGAGTGAATAAGTGATGAGTAAATGAGTGACTGACTGAATGTATAAACGAAAGGATGATTGACTGAAGGAATTAACAAAGGATTAGATGGGTGACCGAGTATGCGTATGAACGAATGCAGGCACAAACGAAAGATTTAATGAACGAACGAATGAACAAACGAACGAATGAACGAACGAACAAAAGAACAAACGAATAAATGAATTAAGAAATGAACGAATGAATAAATGACGGAATTTTTTTAAAAAATGAGTTAACAAAAAAGATAGAGTTTAATAACTTTCGAAGAGTTTAACGTGAGATTATATGAATGAGCAATTGAAGAAACTAACAAACGCGCGAATAAATGAATGAATGAATGAAATAAAGAAGCGAACGAAAGAGCGAATAAATGAATGAATGAATGAACATAGGTCTTTATGTTTAATAACATTTTTATTGATACCGTTTTCAGTTGCCCATTCACATTGGTTACATACATAAACTTTTATGTAAGGTGCATGCTAGTAGTAGTAATGATGCTTGTGATGATGATGGTGATGATGATGTTGGTGATGGTAGTGATGATGATGATGATTAAAGTGATTAAGGTATCATCTTCATCATTACGCCCTTCATGATGGTGTTAATTACATTTTTTCCCATTTTGTATGATGACGTCGACGATGATGGCGATGGTGGTGCTGCTGCTGATGATGATTGTGATGATGATAAGGATGATGATGATGATAACAATGTTTATAATGTCATTAATGATATATTGGTACATTATGAGCGCTGAAATTGAAAAGGTGTTTTTGTTTGTATGCGTGTATGTTTGTGTGCGTATGTGTGTATTTGTATGTGTGTGTATGTTTGGGTGTGTGTATGTTTATGTTGGTACGTGTGTGTTTGTTTGTATGTATGTATGTCTGTATGTATGCATTTGTGTATGTGTGTATGTATGCTTCTTCTAAACCTATGTAGGCTATTGTATTTTCTTATCATTTTCATATAGTCACTTAATAATCTAGATGCAGTTTGTGTGTAATTAAAATAATATTTCTTTTTTAATTGTAAGTTAAATTAGAAGTATAAACAACAACACACACACACAAATGCACATGAACACACACACACACGTACACACACGCACGCACACACATACACGTACACACAGCAGTGGCAGGCCAAGCGTCCTATAATCGTTATACTATCTTGCTGTTTTTGTATGCTCTTGTGCATTTAAATTTGTATTTCTTTCGTGTTTGTATTTTTTTTTGTCTTGTATAAAATACAAAATTTCATGTTTTTGATGAATGGCTCTCTAGATAATGGCTTCTTTTTTCTGTATATATGTATATTTTTTTTTGTAAGAAAGGTGTATGAATGGATGTAAAGAAAATTGTTTTATATTTTTTGAATTTACGTTTGAATGAATAATTTTTTTGAAAGTTTGAACGAGTTAATTATTTCTTTTTACTTATTGTTTTGTTTCGTGAAGTACTCATTAATTTTTTAATTAAATAATTCATTCATTCATTCATCCATCCACCCATTTACTCATTCATTCATCTATTGTTTCACTCATTCACTCAATCCTCCATCCACTCGTATCCACCAGAGAAGAAAGTGAATGCGTGCTACAGTTGAAAGGGCTGACCCCGAACGGTCTACTCCCCGTGGGGGCACTAAGCGAGGGCAAAGACAGTCTTCAAACATGTAGGTTCACACACACACGCGCGCGCACACACACGCACACACACACACACACACAGATAGTCTTCAAACATGTAGGTTTACACGCACACACACACACACACACACACACACACACATACACACACACGCACACACACAGATAGTCTTCAAACATGTAGGTTCATACACACGCGCGCGCGCACACACACGCACACACACACGCGCACACACACAGACAGTTTTCAAACATGTAGGTTTACACGCACACACACCCACACACATACATACACACACGCACACACACAGATAGTCTTCAAACATGTAGGTTCACACACACACACACACACGCAAACACACACACGCGCACACACACGCGTAAGTTTACACACACACGCACGCACACACACACGCACACACACACGCACACACGAACACACGAACATTGCACGTACTTGCGTGTGTATATGTGATAAATAGACGGTTGGGTCCTACTTCGTATTCGAACACAGCCGCTACAGCAGCAGAACCGGACACCTTAACCGCTACACTATGCCACACTCGTATCCCAGTTACTTATAATTAGACTCTGATTAGCCCTTCTTTAATAATTATAATTAGTTGGTTGATTAGTTTTTGACGGATGTCTAAACTCGAAAACGATTTGATTCCATTCAAACGCCGAACTTGCTCTCGTGTCAATTCTTTCTCCGTTTATTCCTTATTCATTATTATTATTTTTATTATTATCATTTTTATTGTTACTATTGTTATTGTTGTTACTATTGTTATTATTTTTTCACATTTTCCGAATTTTGTCCAAAAAATGAAACTTTAATCTTCGGCTGCCCGGTGGAAACAAAATTTTTTTAATGCGAGCGGATGAGTTAAGATGGGCGATCAATCAATCCATCATTTTTTAATGACCGCCTGTCTGCTTTGTCCATTCGGTGATGAAGATGGTGGTGATGGTGATTGTGGTGGTGGTGATGATGATAGTGGTGATGATGGAGAGAGTGATGATAGTGGTGATGATGATTGTGATGATGGAGACAATGATGATTATTATGATGATAGTGGTGATGATGATTATGACGATGGTGATGATGATAGTAAGGGTGATGATGATAGTGGTGATGATGACTGTGCTGATGATAACGATGATGATAAAGTTGAAGACGACAATGATAATCACAACAACAACAATTTTTTGTAAATTCATTCATTCATTCCATCATTAATTCATTCACTCATTTATTAATTCATTCACTCACTCGCTCACTCATTCATTCATTCATCAATTCATTCATTCATTCATTCATTTATTCATTCAATCACTCCGACAGTCTTGACCGGATTTTCTCCTACGCACAAGATAAGCGGTTTCTCGGAGGCCAAACAGCTGGACAAGATGAACGAGAGAATGCCCCCACGCCCCCCCTCACTAGCCACCAAAGAGGCCACCAAGATGTGATGATGATGGTGATATAATATGTCGTTTCAGTAACGTTGACTATGATGGTATAGCTACGGTGATGAGGATGATGGTGGTGATGATGACGACGACGATGATGACGATGATGGTGATGACGACGACGATGATTATGTTGGTGTTTTATTTTAGTGGCGATGATAGCCTGTGTATCATGATACAATGTGATTCTCTTCACGTGTTGATATACGATGATGATGATGATGATGATGATATGATACGATGATGATGATGGTGATAATGTGGTGACGATGATAATCTTGAGGTGATAATGATGATAAGGGCTCGGGGATTGGATTAATATTTGTGTGTGTGTGTGTGTTATAAACCTTTTGACGTATAATTAAATCAATATGATAATATTTTTATTATTCTTAATATAACACTGAGGTGTCAGTTTATCCGAAGCTATGTAATGTTATGTCTTGTTACACAAGTGTGCGTGTGTGTGTGTGTTTGTTTGTGTGCGTGCGTGTGTTATGTATTATTCCAAGTTTTATATCATAATAATATTATGAATAATAATAATATTTTTCGAAAACCTTTTCCTATAATCTTTCTATTTTGATTATCACAATCCTTTAACTGATTAATAAATCAATTAATCTATTAACTAATCAATCAATAATCAATCAATCAATCAATCGGGTAATTGGATATCCAATTAATCAATCACACACACACGCACCACACACACACACACGCACCACACGCACACACACACGCACACACACACACACGCACATATGTATATATATATATATAATGAGTTTTTAGTAAGATTCTCTCACATCGCAGAAGCGTTATTTGTTTGAACAATTACCTAATTATTTACACTGACTGTAAAGTCATAATATTTTTGTACACTTAAGCTTTTGCTCTCTTTGTATCATTTTCTCTCTTTCTTTCTTTCTTTCTCTCTCTCTTTCTTTTTCTTCCTCTTTTTTTTATGTCTTTTTTTCTCTTTTTCTTTTTTAATTTTTGAATTGATTAAATTGAATTAGTTCATTCATTCATTCATTATTTTTAAGTAATTTTTACTACGCATTACGATAATCAGTCATTTGGAGTATCCGATTGTACCGTCTTAAATAATTTAAATCAATTATAAATTTTTAAATTGATTGATTGAAATCTTTTTTAACTTTTATCATCTATGCTATTTTTACACGCATACACACACGCGCACACACATACATACATACATACGCACACAACACAGGTAGGTTCATACATCCACCCGTACATACATACATGTATAGCACATAATCTACACAACACACTCACATACACACACACCCACATACACGCACTCACATACACGCTCACAAACACACATACACGCACAAACACACAAATACACGAATGGCCACCTCATAAATCTACGGTGTTGTATTTTGAAGATAATCACAAAGCACAGCTCGAAGGTAGTGTAAGACTCACTTATCTTCACGCATTACGCACACGCACGCACACAGACGCGCACACACACACACATACATACACACGTACACACACACACACACACACATGTACACACACACACCTATACACACATACTTTCGTTTTGAAATTTTCTCGTCATCGTATCGTTATATTTATATACTTGCGTGTACTCATACCATACTTTCATTGAAAATTTTTAATGATTTGACTAAATTTTCAACTGTGGATTATTAAACACTAACATTTTTACTGATTGTATTTCTTTTTATAGATGTCACTTCTGGGTATTTCCCGCCAAAAAAAAATTTATTTCACCAAAAAATATTAAAAAGTACAGAATTGAACGTCATTCTTCCTCTTTATTCTGCTTCCTGGCTTCAAAAGCAAACAAAAAATTGTTGTTATTATTATTATTATTGTTTTTGTTGTTGTTGTTTTTATTAATATTATGGATGAATGATGAAACGGATGATCAGCG